CATTCTGGCTCTCCTTGGTCTAGGTATACTTCCCCCCCCAAATGAATATTTTTTTAACAGATTCTTAACATAACATGCTAAAATGAGTTAGTTGAAAGCAGTAATTTTTGTCACATGAACAGCTGGAGCAGGAACTGGAGCCATTTCCGTAATAACTGAAAGATCTCCAATGACTTAAGTAGATCTGAACTCAAAGCTAGTTTGAACAGAGGTTTACTTTGGCCAGCGTGAGTCACAGAATATGTATCAGGCTGCATATTAGTCATCTTCCACAAAATTTTATTATTTGTACTCTCAGTACATGTAGTACTGTACTGTTAGTACAGTACTAACATTCCAAGGCTTTTACAAATATGAGCAAATTAAAGAGGGATGACAAAAATGATTCTTAATAAACTGAAATGCTGAGATATTGGAACAGCGGTTGAGAACAATGAATGTCTTATGTTTCTGAAAACGTGTTCAGTCGCTTTGAAAGCTGAGGAATCCCCACGTGATGGTCCTCCAAGACATTGTGAGACCCGTGGGGCTTCATGCAGTTTTGTTCTGAAAACCCAGTATCTGATGCTGTCCTGACCAAACTTGTGAGTGACACCGTCATAAAGCAATTCATTTGTAGTTACCAACCCTAAATCTGTTCTTCATTGTTAGCTTACCATAAAAGATTATTTCCTTTTAAACTGTTAATACGAAATTTGCAACTGATCCTTCAATATGAATTATATGACATAAGAAAGTTTTATTTTTACCTCAGATGGTTTTCAGGGGTTAAATCATTGTAGACTTCCTGAGGCTGACAACAATGCGCCATTCGTCAAACAGAGGTAAATCAACTCTGCAATTAGGACAGGAAAGGGAAGGGAAAGGGAAGGGAAAGGGAAGGGAAAGGGAAGGGAAAGGGAAGGGAAGATCGGAGGAGCGGTGGAAAGGGAAGGGAAAGGGAAGGGAAAGGGAAGGGAAAGGGAAGGGAAAGGGAAGGGAAAGGGAAGGGAAAGGGAAGGGAAAGGGAAGGGAAAGGGAAGGGAAAGGGAAGGGAAAAGGCTTGTTAATTCCTGAAAACCTCTAGCAATTTACAAGGGGAGAAAATGATCCCGGGACAGACTGGGGTCTGCCACCGCACCTCGTGCCGGCCCGGCCCGGCTGTTCCCACCAGCAGCACACTCCTGCCCCCCGCCATCTCCCGGCTCCAGCCCCCCACCATCTCCCCCTCCAGCCCCCCTCCGCGCACAACATGTAAAAGCAGTTACAGTTGGACAAAAAAGCAAATCCTCCTCAGTATAGAAGCACTGGTAAGCTAACACCAACTTCAGTGCTGCTGAAACACTGCTCACATACCACATCCCATACTAAGGCCTTTATAAAGGAGCAGTTCCTCACCATGGCGAACTGGGTCTGGATGTAGAAACTGGGTTCATTATTTATGAAGAAGTGGCCAAAGTCCTCAGAGTCTGGAAAAATACCATATGTTTTCTGTGGAGGAGTCTAAATAACCAGCATTAATGAAAGTAGATCTAAATTAAATGTGTTGCTATGTTCCATATTAGATGCATTAAAAATACCATAGTCTCGTTCTTCAGATGATTAAACCATCATCCGAACTGCTGTGACAGTGGGTTGAAGTGGGAGAATCTAGGTTGAGCTGATACTGCAGCATTGTTAACTGCTTGCTTTCAACGTTGCTGAAATTGCAAAGCAGACTGACATAACAGGTCTGAATTCTGGTGTTCCACTAGTGTCCAGAATAATCTCCTATGGAGAAAGGCTGAGAGAGCTGGGGTTGTTCACCCGGGAGAATAGAAGGCGCCATTGACACCTCATTGCGGCCTTTCAATACTTACAAGCCTCCTTTAAGAAAGATGGCAACAGACTTTTTAGTAGGGCCTGTAGCGGTAGGACAAGGGTTAATGGTTTTAAACTAAAAGAGGGGAGATTTAGACTAGATAGAAGGAAGACATTTTTTTACAATAAGGGTGGTGAAGCACTGGCACAGGTTGCCCAGAGAGGTGGTGGATGCCCCATCCCTGGAAACATTCCAGGTCAGGTTGGACGGGGCTCTGAGCAACCTGATCTAATTGAAGATGTCCCTGCTCACTACAGGGGGGTTGGACTAGATGACCTTTAGAGGTCCCTTCCAACCCAAACCGTTCTGTAATTCTGTTAATTCCACTGAGGCTTTATCTAGACATAGAGCTTTTTTAGAATAACCAAAAGTGGCTTTTAAATGCACCTTACATAAAGCAATGCCAACTTTTATTTTGGACACTTTAAAACTCTCTCTGTAAGCCAGGCCAGGTTTAAATTAATGACACAGGTCAAATCATGTGGCCTAGTTTTCTACCTAATTACATGTACCCAGGAGTTTGCACTGGTTTGAGACGGGGCTCTGCAACCTGATCTAATTGAAGATGTCCCTGCTCACTACAGGGGGGTTGGACTAGATGACCTTTAGAGGTCCCTTCCAACCCAAACCGTTCTGTAATTCTGTTAATTCCACTGAGGCTTTATCTAGACATAGAGCTTTTTTAGAATAACCAAAAGTGGCTTTTAAATGCACCTTACATAAAGCAATGCCAACTTTTATTTTGGACACTTTAAAACTCTCTCTGTAAGCCAGGCCAGGTTTAAATTAATGACACAGGTCAAATCATGTGGCCTAGTTTTCTACCTAATTACATGTACCCAGGAGTTTGCACTGGTTTGAGCATATGTTTAGATTAAACACTTATTGGAAATGTCACACGAAGGGAGAAGTGATGCACCCACCCAATTATTGTACTTTCAAGGAGGAAGACTTCCCTGCTGTCAGAAGCTATATGCGAACATAGTTTTAAAAAGTAGGTGATGTCTCTGCTGAGATTATTTTGAAAATCTTGCACAGAATTAATTGATCTAGCCTTTAAAAGTAGGATCAAGTTGCCAATAAACCACCTTAGATAGTACTGAATTTTAGATACAGTGCAGAAACATTAGAAAGGCCAGGAAACAGTCCATCTGTGTAAAACATATACTATGCCGACTTAACATATTGTTCTCTTTATCACTCGTGCTGAACACGTTTACTGTCATATATACACACACACACTCTGCATTTTTTGAACTAAAAATACTAAAAAATCCACCGGGGCATACATTACATACTTTAATTTCAATTTAATCATACAGTCTAACTGTCAAGGTTATTCATATAGATCAGACTTCTCTTAATGCACAAAGCTGTAGGTTTTTCTAAAACTATGTCACAGCACCATCTCCCTCATCTTCTTACATGCGAACCACCAGCAGTTAAAATCAGTCAGTACCAGGCAAGTACCAGGTATCTTTATGATCACCTCTCTGAAGTGGGAAGACTTTAGAAAACCTGTACAAATAGCTTCTGGGTAGCTGTGAAAACAAGCTAAATTATAGAAAGGATGTAAACTCCCCCTGGTAAATTGGCAATAATTTTATTGTCTTCCTTTATATAATTATTTGCTACTAGGCCTAAATTGGCCAAGCACTTACCTGTGTCTTTAGCACTCACATCACACAGGAAAATCATCCATGACCTGGGACTGTGAAGGAATGTGATGTATAAAGCCAGTATTGCCCCTCTTATTGTAGCTACAGTGGAACTTGGCTCTGCTAGTCAATGAAAACTATTCTGCTGTAAGAATGTAAATATGCGTATCGTATGTGCCAGTTGTGGACAGATTTCTCATCATGCTTACTCCAATCACTTCTCCAAAATACAAGTACAGTGTGTTTATCCTTATAGTGTGTTTGGTGGAGGAACAGGTGCACACTTTCTCCTCAGAATTATGGTCATTCAAGGGAAAGTCAAAAACTGAAGACAATGGCAGTCATGTGACAAATACAAACAGCCCACCCAACCTCTGGCCACTTGCATTAAAGCTGTGAGATTAGCAATACCAAGGACCCTGCTAGTTTGACCAAGTATCTTTCAGATACTTGTATTAAAAGATGTGTATTTAAAAGTCTTTCAAACTATTTCCATAGTGTCATAGCAACAGCCTAGCTACACTTCAAATAGAACTTGATGATCCAGACCTTCAGCAGTTAACTTATACTTTACCTTTGTACACTTTTGGTGGTGTGTTTTGTGTTTTTTTTTTTCCTGAGACTGCTAACAAAGTGGTTGCTTCATTCATGGTTTTCTAAGTAAACTTCACTAGAAAGGGAGGCTGAACTAAAATCCTATTCCAAATGCCACTGAACTTCTGTACTTTTTTACACTGAAATTCAGAGCACACAGCATCATGGCTAGAACAAAAATCTTCTAAGCAAAAGCTATGGGTTCTTTTCACGGATTTTACTTTGTTACCTGTCACTTCATTCTAAAGAGAAGCAGTAAATCTGAAGAGCATTTGACATATTTTATTATAAATGGTCATCAATACAGAACCAAAGTCATCTTTATAAATATCTACAAAAAGCACAAATGCAGGTTAAAAAACATTCTCTAGGATGGGCAGAGGGCTTGTGGCTTTCATATTTTACTTTCTATGAGCCTGTTCTTAGGGAAGAAATAATTTTAAAAGGCTTCTTTTTTTTAAAGTATGCTTTTTTAGTGGTTTTGGTTTTAACATTCACTGTGAAAACAAAGCTTTGTTGATATATCAAAGAGAAAACCAGAAAGGGTGACACATGACCTTTTTGTCCAGTAAATCTGGAATAATCCCACTGTATTGTGGTTTTAACGCTAATTTAACTGAAAATGGAAACTAGTCCAAGGCATTTCAAAACTCCCACATCTTTCATACTTTTTTGGCATATTGCCTGTCAACCTCAGAGTCAGCATGAGGACTGAGCAAGTTGTAAAGACTTCATTCCTGTCCACACTGGAGAGTTGCTCTCCCCCAGAGTCCAGGTCAAAGCACGCTACAGTCTTGCTTCTATTACAACTCTTCAGAGGATTTAGTATCTTGCTAGCACCCCCCTTTCCTGTGATCCTAAATCATGCAAACACACAATCTCTTACACAGAACAGCCCCAGCTGTTGCTATTCTTCATGATCAAGAAATTAATCTAGAACTGCCAGCAGAGGCTTTAGCAAGCCTCTAAGCAAATCACTTTAGAGTTGACTATTACAGACAAATGCTGTTGTGTAACATGGTAGTTATCTGTCGCCCCAGTCAGCAGGTAAGAGGCTGTGTTCTCTTTCTGCTTTAAGAGAACAGAACAATGCCTGTTTGATGTGTGTGTGTGTGCGCGCGTGCATGCATGCTGGAGTGGGGGGGTAGGGTTGGAGGAGGGGCAATATTGCCCTAGTGGTTGAGTAGGTTATTATTTGCTAAACGGAATTTTCCTTGTCCATCTGCTATTTCTTTTGTGCTATGCTCAACAGAGAAGTGGAATTGAAGGTGGTATCTTCTGGACTTTTACCTGCATTTTAAGAGGGAACACTTTTGTAGCAGAGTTACCTGTCACTGCATAAAACTGTGTCCCCAGCCTAACAGAGACAGGAGCAGCAAATTAGCTTCCTGTGATCTTTAAACACAAGAATATTAATAATCCAGCCTACTACTAGCACCAAAATGACAGCATTTGCCTTTCCCTATGTTTTTTTGTCTTTTTCAAACATATTTCTGTATTACTGACATGCTGATGTGATCAACACTTGGGGCGCTGCTCAGCAACACTTCAGTCAGCCAGCCACACAGTTGAATGTAAGCAAAGGGACAGTAAAAAGCAAGAAGTAACACTGCGTTCCATTTGCAAAAAGTCACTCTTCCCATTAGCATACTGTACGTGACCCTTCTGGCTGGAGAGGTGTCAATGGTTTTATTCAAAGCGTCGCAGATGATTGTATAGAGACTGGACATAGGTGAAGACACACATGGGATCTGGCTTGTAACCCATCACCATCATGTCATCCACTTCTATCAGACGATCACAGTGAGCCATTTTCCTGTAGTAATAATAAAACAGAAACAGCAAATCAAGCGTTAAATCTAAGGCCTGTAACTACTTCCAAGATTCATTTGCTGCTCTGATTTGAGCATCACTGAGGCATGTAAGAAATCCTGAGGTTTATCAGCACCATTTCATTTCACAATGAAATGGTCAGGCTCAGGTTGGAGATTGTTATTTTTGTGACCATAGAATATTCCTGTTCTTTCCCTCTCTTCCTCTATACTGGGATCTGATCCAAAGCCCTGTAGGGTTGGTTTTTTTTTCCCCACTGACTGCCATTCACATCCCTGATACCTGTAGCATGTAGCCCAATCTCACATTCCTCTGCCCAAGTCTCAGTAAGCAGGGTCATGCGAGTTTGCAAATCATGAGTTTTTCTGGTTATTACATAGGAAGCTCCAAAAGAATGGGAAAACACGAGGAGAGATGAGATGTGCCAATGAAGGCCCATGTGGCTGTGGATTGTTTGTTCTCCACTACCCCCATATCTTCAAGGTGTGAGTGACTTGGACAACAGTCTCAGATGATCAGGTTGAAGAGCAGAAGCCTGACTGAGATCTGGACCAGCAGAAAGGAACAGATCTGCTGAGGCCTAGGATGAAAAATCACAAGGGCAGGCAGGAAGCAATTTGATCAGCAGAGCTCGTACTGGGGTGAACAGCAATAACTGAAAGAAGAGCCTTTTCTGGCACTAGAGGAGAACAGTTAATTTAAAGGTAGTCATAGCTATGAAGTAGTCAGTTCTGTAGATACCTCTTACCTAATGTTTCTTACTGTTGTGCGCATGCTGTCTTCTGTTCTCCCCTATGCTTCCTGTTATACATAAACTGAGATAGAAAAACACTGCAACTTTCCTTTGAGAGTTGTAGATAGTTTTAGAGATCAACCACCTAAAAGTGTCATAGAATCTCTTTCAACTCGCTGACAAGCAACAAAAATTTTTATATATACATGTATATCTGTGTGTGTATAAAAACCTGATAATTCCCAAATGAATTCCTTTGCTAGGGGCTGTAATAAGGAGAGCCAACATTATGCTAAGAATTTTCAAAGCTTTTCTCTGGAATGGCAAAGGGTAAATCCAGTTCTATGAGTTATTGCTTTAATTAAAAAAAAAAAAAAAAAAAAAAAAAAAAGCGCGCTCCGAAAGAACCCCAGAGCTTCAGTCTGGTGGTATCGGTGTTTGAAGCTGTATCAGAAGCTCCAGGAAACTTTAGCCATGTATTCCCACACCCCACACTCAGAAACGAGTGTACCAAATCCAGCTGCATGCCACACAGAATGTTCTTACTGTTACACGAGTCAAACAAAACAGCAGCCAAGAATCATGTTGATACTAGGTCAAAAAAGTTACTATTTCTAGCTGACAAGTTCACACTCCTAACAAACACGTTATCATTTAATTTCCTGATATACTGCATCAAGAAGGATCAGGACAGTGTGACTGAGGGTATTAGCTCTGTCCATTTTACAAAAACGCAGTTACCAGGTTGAGATACTGAGAAGCTCTCAGCCTTGATCTAACTCTACTTACGCTGAATTCAACCTTCATTCATGTTCAACCAAAGCAACGTACAGACAGAGGTGAACCCTCCCACAAAACCCAATTCCAAAAGTTAATCTATTTGCTCCCTGTGGTTCAAGGGTCACAGTTTTTCCAGAGAGGCTGGATGGATATATTAACATGCCTCAAATTCAAATCAGGTATCAAGCAGGTGGGATTGGCTAAGAAACTACAAGTTGTATGTCCACTTCCTATGGACTGTCAGTAAACATTGGATGCCTTGTGCTCTATGAACTCAAATTTCTTTTTTATGATTGATATTGGCAAATTCATTAAGAATCATTCATTACTTCAAGAACAAAATAATTAAAAAAACTAAAAAACAAACACAGAGAGAAGAGGATTTTTTCCTCTTCTGTCCAAGCATAACTCAGGAGGCTGAATTCTCAAGTTTAGTGTGTCAGTGCTAAGGCTGGTGAGAATCACAGAGGTGAGAAAGCAGAATGCAAGTACTGCCTGAAGACTGTGAAAGACCTGAACATAGGACTCCAATGAATTATCCTGTGCCTGGTAAAACCACCTCTGATTTTAGACTGCCGAGTCTCCTGTTCTATGCGTTCTCTGTGCAGAGCTTTATTATCTTCTCTGGCATAACATATATAAGCTAGTGACGTAGGACCTACAAGAAGAATTAACTTCTAACTAACTTAACTAACTGAAGATTAAACTCTTCACTGCTGCCCAGCTGCATTAGACTTGAACTGGAAGCACTTCGCAGAGATCTAATGTGATACTCACTCAGCCATGGTGAAGGCCAGCTCAAAGTTCTGCTTGCGATTAGCTGGGTCAAGCTTATTATAATCAAAAGCTTCAGGAAAGAAAGAATGCACAAGAGCACAGAATGCCATCCCATCGTTCCAGCTTGAGGAAAAGTTCTGGAGATCAATGTGCTGTCATGACAAAAAAACCACGCATATTAATGCAGCACAGGGGAACAGGAAAGAGCAGCTGCTTTTGCTCACTGCAGTTTTCTGTCCTTCTCTCCCACTAACCAAAGCAACAGAGCACAGGCTTTAAGTTTTTCTCCCCCTCTTTGTATATCCATTACATTATTTGTATTCTGAGAAAAAACGGCACACTCGGCAATGAAAGCCTTTTGCCTGAAATGCCCAGATGCAAAGCAGACACACAGTCAAGGTCCCTGATCCAAAGCCCACTGAAAATACTGGGAAGAATCTTGTCAACGTCAGTGAGCTCTGGAGCAGGCCCAGTGCACTAGCTCAGTATCTGCTGAAACTAAGGACACTGCTTATCCCTGTGAAGTATTTATAATTGAAGAACGGTTCATTTTGTGGCTGTGAATAACACTAGATAGACTATGCTTGCTTGCTTTGCTTTTCAGTAAGGCCAAATTCAATGCCTGTTTACACACAGATAGGTAGAAATATAGGAAGAAATATAGGAAGAATTATGCCTACTGCAAAACCTGATTCTTAGAACAAGTGCTTGTTGTTACTTTCAACCGCCACAGTAAAAAGAAACGTATCTGGGCTCTTGTCTCATGCTGCTTTCCCATCATTTAAAATTCAAGCCCGAGCTTTTCTGGTAAGCAACTAACAGTAATTTTCACTAGTTCTGCTTATGTATACTATAATTTAGAGTTCAGCAATAAAATACACATTTTACAATAACATTGAAAAACATATTACAGAAAAAAAACCTAGAAAAAAAAATTCTCTTTCTCCTGGAAATTGCTTTGGCAATTGCAGTTTAAGGCCAGGTAAAATTACTGAAATCTCAACTGCTGAATTCTTTTAGCTACACTGATGTTACCTCATAGAAATTAGCTCACTAACACCGTGTGATTCAACCTCAACCATTTACTACAAATTCACTTGTCTAATACCAGTAAGAGAGTACTTTGGTCTGCTGTGTAGCAAAATGGCCATAGTCTCCACGTACTGGCAAAATGTTATTCAGATCTTGCCATGTATAATGAGAACGCAAAAATCATAGCCTGCAACTAAGAAAAAAAAATGTGTGAGTGTATACTGAAGTCTATATCCATAAGCACAAAAATGCAGGCTTTCAGACAAACACTAATGCATTGCTTTGACAGACATACAGCATCTCACTCATGCAATCACTGACTGTCTTGAAGTGCTGCCCATGCAAACCATGATGTTTGCATTACCCGCACAAAACTTGATGACCTTGAGGAAGTTAGCTCATTGTCTAGCATGTTTTACATTCACTTTTTGAGTACGCTTTTTTGGCAAATTCTCCTGAAAAAGAGAGCGCTGAAAGTGCTAGCATGTCTTCACCTTGTATCCTATGGTTTTTGAGCGACACCAGTCTAACAGAATTTGTTTAATGCTGCTAGCGCTGGCAACCCCAAAACTCTGCGACCTCTTCAGCTTAGCTCTGGATTCTCCTTTTCCTCTGGAAAATTAACAGAGACCAGATTAAATTACATTCTAGAAAAACTTCAACCTACTTGTCAGCAACATCTATGCAACCTTGCCCAGGTCAGCCCCTGTCCAGGTGATATTTGAGAAACACGTTGCTGAAACTTCACCTTGTTGGTCCTGCAAGAAAAACTCATTTTCATTTCACTAAAGCCAGGATTCCAAGCCCACTTCTATTTAAATCATACCCCCATCATGGTGCATAAAGAACAGTCCACGCTTTTGGTCCTTAATGAATGGCAACAGAAAGTCACTATATTCCCAGTCTCTTATAATGATAGAGAAGGCTTTCACAACACTCTTTCCTGATAAAAGTCATCTGCTTCTTCAGCTGAACAACTCCGAAGCCAAAAGAATCTGTAGCTGTGAATTTCCAGGGCAAAGTCAGCAAAGCTATACGTGACCCCATATTGTCCCTTAGCTCAAAATCCTACATTGAGAGGGTCCTCCCATCTAGCTGTCCTCTGCTGGTAATAATTGACAAATTAGTTTCCCATTAACAAACCCATTCTGGGGACAAGGGGTGTGACATACTTTCCACCATCGTGTTCAAGTTTCTCGAAAAGCGCTTTCCTGGCCTGTGTTCCTGTAGTCCGTGGGAGCGTCTGAGACCGCACCAGTTCTCGCCTCCTTTCAACTTGGCGATGTACAGTGGGAGGAGAGGAGTGAGAGCTGGGGGTCACATCACAGTAACTGTCAGTGGCACTGGAGAAACATAACATGAAAAGTATGTGGTTAAACAAAAAAAGTAAGTCTCTGCAGTGCCAGGCGTCAGCATAAAGGTCCAACTGTGGCCTACTCTAAACCTCCCAAAACAGCCGTTTCAAGAAGACCTGAATGAGTCAAAAGCAATTTAAGTAAAAGTCAAAGCTTTATTGACAGACGACAGCACTTAACTATAGAAGAGTCTAAGGTACTTTTACAAATGACACATAGCTGGACAAGTCACAAATGCTTTATAGCACTGAGTAAAACAACAATTAAACACCTTTAAGAAAAAAGAAAAAAAGAAAAGAAAAGAAAAAAAGTTGTGGCCACACAGGAGCACTAAATCCCTTTAATTTCCAACTTTGGTGTTCCTGGAGGGTAAGTCACATTTTAAAAATGGAACTTGAAGAGTAATTCAGGAAGTACTTTTGAAATTTTTACTTATAGTACACTGAATCCTGAGCTCATGTCAGTGTTGCTTCACTGACCGTAAACTGGTAATTTGATCGAGAAATATAGGATTATATTCTAATTTGTGTTTATTTGAACCATAAACCACTTCATCAGTATTAATGAAGTAAGCCACACATTGCACTTGGAAATGTTCCCCGTGACAGAGATGGGGAAACTGAGGCAAAGAGCAATAACATCAGTGTCACATTAATTTCTGGTACAGATGGAGGTCAGATCTGATAGCAAGTTCTCTAGGGTGCTCAGTGTATCATGACTCAAATATCGAAGTGCTGATGTTGGAACTAACTCGGAAGAAATGTAATGCCAAATTTGGGATAATTTCCAAGGCAGATGCAAGCCCAATTTAAGAGATTTAAATTGGCTGCCCTCCCATTTTTCTTGATGGATATTTTGCATGCTGAGGATGCCTGAATACGCCAGTAGTAATTGTGATACCATGTAATCCTATACTAAGCAACTGCGACTCCGAATTAATCAAGAATGCATAGCAGTCCTCAGTCCTCAGCAAGGCATTTATCTACAAACTAAACTCTAGGCTAGCCAAACTAAGGTTCTTTGACAGCAGTCACATGTTGGTTTCCAAAAATAAGCCCAAAGTACAAATTTCAACACAGCTGAGTATTTTTAAAAGTGTTTTCAAAGGGCCTGATAACTTGTTCCTCCTAACAAAAATCCACCACTGGCACTGAGAGTTTTACTAATGCTGTAACAATGCTGAAATCCACAACTAGGTCAGCTTTAAAATGCTCTATGAAAGACTTTTATGCCTTCCCATCTCTGTTCCACTTAGCCCTCACTCAGGAAAGCTCACAACCTTTAATGGGCTTAAAATGCAGCATCTGGGACTCACCTGTTCTCCAAGCCAGCAGAACACCTGTCCCTTGAGACTATACTGACCACAACAGCCTAACAAAATGTCAAGAAAAATGTATACCTTTCACCAGTTTTGGTTCCACTACTCGTCCCATAGCTCACAGTTGAGACAGACTTAGTGACAGAAGTGGTATTCTCTGTACAAAAGCAGGAAAAACAAGATGCATCAGTGCAGAAACTTCTTTGATCTCCTTTCTTCATACATTTTCAAACCATTTCCTGATAGGTAGCCACACATTGATTTTTACTCACCACAGTGAAAAGCTGCAGGCCTCTAACTTCCAGTATGAGCTAACAAGCTGGAGAGGGATTTTCCCCAGGGGTTCAATCCCTCTGCAAAATTGTTGCACTGCAGCGAGGATGGTATAAACATACCAGAAAGGGCTGTGAGAGAATGCCTTTGATAAAACTGCATTGGGAAGGTTGGATCGTTTCAGGCCCTTGTGCAGACCTCAGAGGAGAGCACACTGCTATGGACATTTCAGTGAAAGGAAGAAATGGTGCTACAGCTCAGCTTGCAACAGTCATCCTGGCAGACATAAGGAGTCCTGGGAAGTCTGCCATAATTGAGAGCATAATTTAAATTACCTAATTTCCACCAAGAAATGTTTTAGTTTGTAAAGTAGAGCAGACTCCAAAGGTTGCAAAGGTGGCTTAAAACCAACTTTGCATCTTCCTCCCCCCGCCCCTGAAGTTCTATCTTTTGTGCTTTGCCTCTTAGAGCCCAGCTCTGGACTCCAGCTATGCTCTGTAAATGCAGAACAATGGAGTGGCTTGCCCAGTTTTAACACATTAAAGCCAAAACTTGTTGCATAAGCCAGCAACTTATTTATTGAAGGCTCCTTCTATACACAAAGAAGAAAGACTGGCATCTTAGAAGCAATCCAACCTGATCACTGTCCAAATCACTCTAAAAATGCTGAACACTCCCCACTGCTTATAGAAGGGATCCAGATCAACTAGACTTCTCACGTACAACACCCTAGTAAATGCCAGCATACAGATGTGACAAATTTGGGACCACAAACAATTGCCAGATATTTGTGCAAATCTCAGAGTTTTTAAGCTGAGGAGGAGTGTGATCCTTATTCTGGATGAGCTACATCTTTGCTAAACTGACACTTGAGACCACTGTGAAATGCCAGTACATTGTGTAGACAGTAAGAGCTTGGTGACATCAGTCAGAAGTACTTTTGGATAGAGGTCAACTCATCTATTTCGACTGAAATCAAAAATCCTTAAGGCATTTTGTCCGTTGACACATTCATATATGAAGGAGACTAGTTACTGCTATTCTGCTCAAAGGAATTTGCTTCAACATCCATAGGGTGGGCCCACCACTTTCCAACTGCCATTACCTTGTGTTCAGTCACAGTTTTCACTTGGTCAGCTGAAATCTTCACTGCTCAAACTGTCTGTTCTGCCACACTTTTCTGGCACCTATTCCTTCCACTGCAGAGATTGCCTAACAGTACACATGTACACCACTGTGCAAATAAGGATAAGTACCCCTCGATTTGAACTGATTGAGAATCTGATGCAGCGGAACAAGTTTCCATGATACCTGGGAAACTGAATCTGTATGCAGTCTTGTTAGCAATTTTAGTATTACCATGTACCTACTAATCGGAACTACATGCTCACATCTGAATCCCCCAGACATGGAGCATGGAATCCCTCTCAATTTGTGTAGCATAAGGCCACGTTGATAGGAACACTCACCTCCAGTGGCAGATGAACGCACTGTTCTTACTGTACTTGAATTCCAGGCCTTCACTGAAACAGCAGAAAGAAAGACAAAGGAAGGCTTTGCTACATTCTTAGCTTTAATAAGATAAAAGTTGAAAGAATAATCTGCAAATAATCCCTATCTCTTGCTAGCAATTCCATCTGGTCTCTCTCTCTGTAATTTCTGACCCATATATATAGTCTGATCTGTAAGTGTCACTATTACTAAATGTATATGAAATACAGCTCAAAGATGAATAACTAAAATATGAATGAAATGAGATTTTTTTTTAAACTCAATTTAGATATAAATAAGATTCTGCAGTCACTCTAACTTGTGTATATGTGTCAGTCTGCTGTTGGTCATTCCTCCCTCCAAATGACTGTTGAACCCGTTCGCCAAATATCTGCCTAACTTCTCAAGGGGCCTCAGGTCTCAAAGCACTAAAAACTCCTGCAAATGTCATTAAAATAGCTGGCCACATTGAAGAGACACTTATTCAGTAACTGTGCTAGAAGATAGGCTGCACTATGAACTCAACTATATCAGGCAGCAAAAATTCTCAGCAGATGTGACATTCTAGCCTAAAGCTCCACCTAGGACCCAAAATATTCTAAATCAGTGTGTCCCACCATGGGATATGTAGCCACAGAAGCGAGGTTTCATAATTACCACTAGGTCACAGGACAACCCCTGTAGCACCAGTTTCTTGAAGTAAAGAAATGGGACACAGCTTCAGCAAACAAATTATTTTTCTCTCTTACCTGACTGGTTGGACGTTTTCACTGCCATCACATTTTTGGTCTTGCTCTGTCCCAGCAGGCCAGGAGACACATTAGTTGTTCCTGTTGAACAGATGGTCTCTCCTGAAAACTTCTCTGATATCCTGGTTACTGCAGTAACAGGAAGGTGAGGCATCTGTAAGGTGACTGCAGGGGCATGGGCTTCAGGGGAAGAGTCTGATGTGTGAAAACAGGTCAGTTCATGGGAGACTTTTGCCTGACCTAGTGAGTAAAAAGAAAAGGAGAGAGGAAGTAAGTTTATTTGCAGATTTGTAACAAAGTTACAAACCAATTTCCATGCAACAACTTTATTTTACAACTCATTGGAATTATTCCACCTAGTTCTCCCTGTGGGACATTATACCATTTACAGGACGCTGCAGAAACAACCCTAGTGTAAGTGATCCTTGCAGCTATCATACCTGTCCTACATGAATCTCAGCAAGAACAACTTCAGATCATTAATCCACTAGCATCTGCATTTGGTAAGCTCCTCCTCCCCCTCTGTGCAGCCCCCATCCCCAATCTCCTGCCGTGGGTTAGGAGTCAGCATTCTTGTTCTTTTCATGGTTTTATGAAACACTGTGTGCCTTAGTTTTCTCCAAAATGGAGATAGTAAGTCCATCCACTGAAGGATGATGGAAGCGGACAGGTAATTTGCAAAATGTTTTGGGATGCAAGGCTACATTGGCACCCAGAATAGCAGGCCTTATTATCACTAGTGCCCCAAGATAACGTGACAGTAATAGTCTCTAATTTATGAAACACCATAGTGCATGCTTAACAATAAAGTTCAAGTTTAAAAGTTAAACTCCTAATTAGGAAATAAAGTTAAACGGTATCAGTGCCACAGTACAATATCCATGCTGAAACCCTAGCAGATTCTAATGCTTCCAACATGTGAGAGCTGCTCTATGACTGCCAGGATCAGGTATTTTACAAGTAGTGCTACTTTCTTTTATGCCCTGTTCCTACCTGATGAAGACTGATGCCCATTTTCAATGATGGAAGAACTAAAAACTCTTCTAAACTCAGGTTTGTGGTGGTCATCCAGGTCTACACTCTGTCAGAACAGACAACAAACACCAAAACCAA